GCCAGTTTCTACTCAGCTCTGTCTTGGCACATTAGCCAGCAGGCCTGGGCCGTGCTGACCTTATGAACTGATCCTGTAAAGAAGAATGGATGTGGGGCTGGAGAGATGGTTCAGTGACCAAGAGCATTAGCTGCTCTTGCAGAGGACCCAGGTTCAATTCCCAACACTCACAGGGTGGCTAACAACCATCTATAACTCCAGTTCCAGGGGACTCTGACACCCTCTTCTGACCTCTGCAGGCATTGCACAACACAGATGCACTTACATTTAAAAAAATAAACAAAATGTTTTTAAGACTAGTAAGAATTAGGCCTGCTTTTCTTTTTTTCTTTTTTATGTGACACTGTAACAAGATCCAAATTCTGGATCATACATATACCCTGGTTCCAAATTCTGCTATTTGTAGAGTGTAGTCAAGTCTACAAAGTTCCTTCACAAAGCCTTTTAAGAACCCCATGCAGGGGCTGGAGAGATGGAGAGATGGCTCAGCGGTTAAGAACACTGGTTGTTCTTACAGAAGACCCAAGTTCAAATCCCAACATCTACATGGCAGCTAACTACTGTCTGTAACTCCAGTCCCAGGGGATCCGACAGCCTCTTCTGACCTCCGCGGGCATTGTACGACAAGGGTGTACTTATGTACATGCAGGCAATATACGCATACACATAAAATAAAAATAATAAATAAAAAATTTTTTAAAGTTTTTTTTCAACATTTTGGTTGTTAGCCTTAGCCTTTAACGGCTGTGCTATCCCTCCAGCCCTTTCTTCAAACATTTCACAGTTACATCCATTGTTTCATTTTCTCATTTTATTTCTCTGCTCTATTCTTGTTTGATCTGCTCAACTGGACTTATTTCATACACTTACCTGCAAATATAAAAAAAAAAAAAAGTTTTTTTTTGGTTGCTGAGACCACAGAAAGCTACGCCGGTCTGAGGCAGGGTGTGATCGCACTGGAGGCCTCTTGGGGGATGCGCGCACCTTCTACCTCCTCCTGGGGCAGACTCCTGGCCCGGCATGCCTTCTTCCTACTTTGAACCTTCCTCCTGCCCCAGCCTGGGTCCTGTCTACTTACCTTCCCTGCTGTTGTACCGGGAGCCCTTGCGCTGAGACCACAGAAAGCTACGCCGGTCTGAGGCAGGGTGTGATCGCACTGGAGGCCTCTTGGGGGATGCGCGCACCTTCTACCTCCTCCTGGGGCAGACTCCTGGCCCGGCATGCCTTCTTCCTACTTTGAACCTTCCTCCTGCCCCAGCCTGGGTCCTGTCTACTTACCTTCCCTGCTGTTGTACCGGGAGCCCTTGCGGCCTTCCATGACTTTGAGTCTCTGACCTCTGACGCTGAGCTATAGCTTTTCCACCGTGGGTTTTGTTTTTGTTGTTTCATTTGTGTGTATTTTGCTACAGGGGCTCATGTATCCCAGGCTAGCTCCAACTCATTAGGTAGCCAAGGCTGACCTTGAACTCCTGATCCTCGTGCCTCTACCGCCTGAGTGCTGGGATAATAGGCATGTGCTACCCACACCTGGTTTATGGGGTTTGGGGAATCAGACCCAGGACTTTGTGCATGGTAGGCAAGCACTCTCCCACCTGAGCCACATTACAGCCCTGTTCTGAAGCTACTTGTGTGGATTTTGTTCTTAAGTTCATCTGTGCCATTCCCCACCCCCCACTGACACAAGCCAAGTTTCCCGAGAGGCGTGCAGAGTGCTTTCTGAGTTCACTTGAACCTCAGGAGCTGGGAGCCCCACCTCACTAGTGAAGCCAGCTGGGATGTGCTGCCTCTTCCTGCCTTGTGTGGCTAGTGAGTCAGGCTCAGGGCTCATTCTCCTGACTTTCCACTCTGTGATTTTCCTCTATACGTCACTTGGCCCTCTGTGCTGTCAGACACTTGGGACATTGATAATTTGATGCAATGCCATCTCTAGGATGACATTTTAATTGGGAAAGAAAATCACTCCTGATTTTCAAACACTGTCTGAAGGTATTATTATTATTTGATTTCATTCTTGTTTGACTTGCTATGAAGCAGAGTTGGTGTTTAATACAGATATTTTAATATAGGCTTAAGGGGTTGGGGAGATGGCTCAGTGGTTAAGAGCACTGGCTGCTCTTGCAGAGGACCTGGGTTTGATTCCCAACCCCCATATGGCAGCTAACAACCATCCGTTACTCCAGTTCCAGGGACTCCAACACCCTCTTCTGACCTCTGGGGCATTGCACAACATGGGTGCACCTACATACATGTAGGCAATACACTCACACATATAAAATAAAAATAATAAATAAAATATTTTAATATAGGTTTAAACACAAAGTTAAAGAGAAAGAGGTGTTTTGAAGGAAAGGCAAGGCTCACCAAGAGCACAGGTGTGGGCTTCTCAAAGAAGAGTTGTCAAAGAGACTAAGCCACATCCACATTTAAGCTCCAGCTCCTCAAGGGAGAGCCATCCATGCCTTTTGTTTTTGTTTCTAATTTTCTGGATTTGTTTTATGGGTGTTTTGCCTGCATGTATGTATGTGCACCACATGTGTGCAGTGCCCCTAGAGGCCAGAAGAGGGCATCAGCTCCCCTGGAACTGGAGTTATGGACAGTTGTTAGCTGCCATGTAGGTACTGGGAACTGGGAACTGCAAGAGCATCCAGTGCTCTTAACTGCTGAGCCATCGCTCCAGCTCACTTCCTTTATTATTTTTTATTTTTTTAAAAAATATTTTATTATTTTTATTTTATGTGTATTGCCTGCACATAGGTAAGTGCACCCGTGCCGTGTAATGCCCACGGAGGACAGAAGAGGCTGTCAGATCCCCTGGAACTGTAGTTACGGACAGTTGTTAGCTGCCATGTGGGTGCTGGGATTTGAACCCAGGTCTTCTGCAAGAACAATCAGTGTTCTTAACTGCTGAGCCATCTTTCCAGCCCACTTGCTTTATTTTTATCTGTTGTTTCCTATCATTTCTCACAGAGAGAAAGAGAGAGAGAGAGAGAGAGAGAGAGAGAGAGAGAGAGAGAGAGCAATGTGTAGTGGATGGATTTAAAAATTAAACAATGTGTAGTGGATGGAGTCAGCATATTTGGGCTTCTGCCTTGGCCTCCTGGGTGGCTGGATGGGCTGTGCTGCCTCACCTGACTTTGGGGTGAGTCCTGGGCTCCACATTGGTGCTGGATGACTCTGGGCAAGTGACTTGCTTGCTTTCTGTGTCCTCATCTGAAAAGTGACCTGCCTGTCCCCTCGGTCATGTGACAAAGGAGAGCATGTTCCCACAGCACTGTGCACAAGGCAGACACACAGTGACTCAGGCCATTGTAGTTGTCTCCCTTATCTGGGAAAAGTAAGTCTGAGGATCACTGGCTGGATTCTTTTCTCTTCTAGGTGAGAACCACTCAGCAGAATGGGAGGATCCTCTATCATCTAACTCCTAGAGATATTGGTTACCCCCCACCCCCCACCAGAGTGTGTCATTTTGTATACGTGACTAGATCTTAAAGGCAGCTCTTTTGAGTGTGGGGGGGCGGGCATCCAAGCTCATGTGAGTGTCTGCTCCTGTGTGTTTGCGTGTGTGGAGCCCAAGTCAATGTTAGGCGTTCACCTCTGTGGTTCTCCATTTTAGATTCTGAGAAGGCCCCTCACTGAACCTGGAGCTCACCAATCTGGCTAGGCTGGCTGGCCAGCAAGTACCAGAAATTTCTTGTCTCCTCCTCCCCAGTGTGGGGACCACAGACCTGCATGCCTCACTGTTACACGGGGCCTGGAGATCTGAACTCAGGTCATGTGGCAGATGCATCAACTGAGCCACCTCCCCAGCCCCAAAGGTGGATCTTAAAGTCAACTACTCCAGCTTTCCTGATTCACAGAGTAACTGGGTTCAAAGGAGGCAACAGCCCCAGGGACCAGAGACAACGTTTAGGTCCCAAGGTGGGTCTCCTGAGCCTGTTTGGTGTATAATGTGACCTCACATTATCACCATGTAATAGCAAGGAATGTTCCTGATCTGGGAACACCACACCAAACACTCCAGATGTCTTTCAAACCAAAGATGGAAAAATGATATTTGATTCAGTTACTTTTAAATTTTGTGATGATTTTAATGGTGAGCTCCTTGAGTCTTGAAGATCTGGGAATTTGTGTTATGATATAGAAGCTAATTCTTTTTTCTATTTTCTTTCTTTTTGAGACAGTGATTCACTCTGTGGAGGATGACCTTGAACTCTGACTCCTGCCTCCACCTTCTGGGTAGGACTACAGGCATGTGCCATTATGACTGCTGAAGGCTAATTTTGAAAAACCTCAGTTAATTATTTATTAGTTGGGGGTCGGAGGGCAGGTTTAAGGGGTTGGTTCTTTTCTTATGCTTTTGGTGTGTTCTGGAGGTTGGAACTGAGGTTTCCCAGACGTTTGCCAAAACGCCTTTACTCACTAAGCCATCTTGCCAACTACAAAGCTAATTCTTTTCCAGAATAGGCAATTAACCAGAAAAGGCTGCTCTCTTAAGACTGCACTCAACAATGTATGTGAGAAAAGAAAGTAAAAGTAAATATGTGCAGGGCAGAACATTTCCCCATCTTATAAACTGTGTACCAAGTACGTCTCTCTCCAATTACACAGGGTCCTTGGGGCCTCAGACTTTCCAGGGCCCCTTGGGTCTCCACGACAATGCACCTGGTAGCTGAACTGGAAACACAGGTAGCAGGTGGTGGCAGGCTATGACAGGCGACATGCAGAGCTAGGGGAAAAGTATCAGTTGCAGAGCCAAGCAGGAGCATCTGCAACTGTGTGCTCTGCCCCCTGGAGCCTACAGAGCCACCCAGCCAGGCTGCGAGTCTCCACCTCTCCAGGAAAGTTCAGAAGACCCAGAACTCCGGAGGCATCAGAGCTCCTTGTAGCTGTGCTGGGCTCGGAGGAGATGGGACTTCACTTCTGCTGATGCTTAAACTTCATGCTTCCTGATCCCTGGGAGGTTCCAGTGAGGGTCATCCTTCCAGCCAGCCCCAAGCCTCATGCAGCCCTTCAGCATCCCCGTCCAAATCACACTCCAGGGCAGCCAGAGACGCCAGGGGAGGTAAGTCTCCACCAGAATCTCCCCTTAATGGGCATCTTGATGAGTAAGCTGTATGTGGCTAGGAGAGAGGCAGGCTGGGATTGGTTGAGTTTGAGGAAGCCAGCTTGCCACACCTCTCTGGTACCCACAGCTGCACCCCACCTTCAGCAGGTGAACCCCACCTTCCCCAGCAAAGACGCCCGGGCTGCATCCTCTCTTCTAGAATTCATCCTTTAAGCTACTGTTTTTAGAGGCCATCCCCCCATCTCCCAGTTTGGTGACAGTTGTTTTGAGACAGGGTCTCATGTAGCGCAGGCTGGCCTCAAGGTCTCTCTGCAGCTAAGGATGATCTTCCTCCCTCTACCTCCCAAGTGCTGGGTTACAGGTATGCACTAACCATGCCTGGCCACAGCCCCTTTTTAAATTCAGCTCTGGATCCCAGCACCAGAGCACAGTTGGTGCGTAACAAATATCTTTTGATGAAATGAAGGAAGGAAGAAAAGACATCAGTATTTGGTCCCATTGGTGAAGCCAGTCCAGATTCAAGTTCCAGCTCTCCACTTAGGCAGCTAGCTGAGTGCACTCCAAGTCTCCACTCATCTGTCTTGAAGTGGAGATGCTCATCCCTTCCGTGTGTGCCTAGTACAGTGGTATGCTTTCCACAAACTCTCTAAACTATATAGGTCAGTATATTCTGCGTACCCTTCAGCTGTTGCTATTTTGTTGATATATTTTTTTAAAGACAAGGTCTTTCGTAGCTCAGGCTGACCTCAAACTTGCTAGGTAGCCGAGGATAACCTTACACTCCTGATCCTCCTTTCTCCACCTCCCCAGTACAGAGATTGCCTCTACCACCCAGCTGCTGCTATTAACTACCCAGCTCTACAGTCTGAAGGGGAAGTGAGATGGACTATCTTAGGACCCCTCTCTCCCCAGGGGTATGCAAAGCAGAGCAGTTTCAAGCTTCAGGGAAGTAGAGCCCGAAACCTGGCTCAGGGTTGTTGTGGCAGAGCAGTGCAGAGAGTAATGTTTGAGAAATGAGATGTTAAAGGTGTTGCGGTAAGTTCTTGAGAGGCCTACAATCTGCAACCTACTTGCGCTGTAGGAAGCTTGGACCATGTGTTTTGTTAGTGGTTCAAACTGAGTTGGGAGTTGAGGACATAACAGTGACAAATAGGTGTGGTCACCTACCTACTGCAGTTTTTAACTACACTCTTGGGTACTGGGGACTGGACACGGGGGAGGAGGGAGAGGGCCTTTGGATGATGCTGAGGTTCAGGGAGGAGGGAGGGTCAGATCACACAGCAGACACTCCCTTTCTAGAAATGAACTCGTGGTCTTGTGAGCGGTTACAGTGAGTCACTGCACCGCATGAGATCAGACGACAACCGTAGCAGCAAGTGGTTTAAGGCCCTGCTCCTGAGCCCACGGAGATGGAAAGGCAGTCTGTCTGTCTCCCTTCATTTCTGATATTTTTCTCTTTGCTCCCACCCTGACCTTGGTGAACCACGTGGCTTTTATTCAATCTCATCTTCTGTTCTGAAGGAAGTTAAGCAATTTTGTACTTTAAAAAAAAAAACCAGAAGGGTGAACGCTGCGACAAAGCCTCCTTTGCAGTGAAAACAAACTACAGGAAATGCTAATTGAATGCACTCCAGCGTGGGAAATACTCCCAGGTGAACCTGGACAGACACATGGATGAGCTGCCCGTGTTAGAGGGTGAGGCTGCAGCTTCTGTCCGGATCACATCCAGGGGAGTGACACAGCTAGCAAGCTGGCCTGCTCACGCTCTTGTAACCCAGTTTGCCTCAGGCTGAGCAGAAGGTACTGTGTAGTTTTTGCTGTGCTTAGGTCTGTGGGAAAGTCTCTGTGTGCAGGGGACAGCCCTGGGAGGGTGCTACCTTGACTCTGGGTTACTGTCTCCAGGCAGGGCATCATTAGGAGTGATAGTATTCCTGGCCAAAAAAAATTAAAATGCCCTTGACTCAGCTCACTGACTAGAGAGGAAATTAGATCACTCTTAAGCACTTTAGACTTTGAGATGAAAAGTGCTTACAAATATCACAGGTTAATTATAGAGCAATTACAGACTCAGAAACTGTAAGGACAGTACAGCTGATCCTAGCAATGGAATGTTGCACCACCAATAGAGAGGTTGCAAAGAATTGTCAGCAATATGGAAATTAAGTGAGAAACACAAGATTAAAAAACCAAAGTAGACCTAATGTGAGCTCATTCATTTAAAACGATATAAATACAGAACTCAGCAAGGGAACTGTAGTTAAAAAAACAATGGACTTAGGGCTGGAGAGATGCCCAGCCATGAAGAGCACGGGCTGCTCTTGCAGAGGACCCTGGTTCTGTTCCCAGCACCCACATCGGGTGGCTCACAACCATCTGTAACTCCAGCTTCAAGGAATCTACCACCCTCTTCTGGCCTCTGTGACACACACACACACACACACACACACACACACACACACACTTAAAAATAAAAAGGACAGACTTGTAAGGGGTGTTTCTGGCATTCTTTAGGCTTTCCCGATTTTTCAAGTTTTATACAACGAGCGATCAAAAGTGTATTACGCAGACGAACACTTTGATGTTTGTCTACGTTTTGTGGCTCATTTTGCAATCAGATCTGGTAACTACTTTGTTTATGCTTAGGAAGAATGCCTGGTCTGTGTACATTATTTAGATCACACTTGTCAGTCTCTGGTTTACTTACCGAGGTGTCTAGTTGAGCTGTGAACCACTTAAAGCGTGTATAAGAGGACACCAGGTCCGACAGTAGATTTCGTCTGTTTATCTTTACTGTTCCAGCACCAAGAAGACAGTGCTGCTGTAAATACAAAGTAGACTTGTATCTTCCTGGCGAGTTGGTTTTAATCAATGTTATTGGATCATCTTTAAATTTCATACAGCTCTATCCTTCTTTCTTTTTTGTTTTTTGGTCTTTTTGAGACAGGGTCTCCCTGTAGCCCCAGCTGTCCTGGAATTCCCTTTGTAGACCAGGCTGGCCTCAAACTCACAGAGACCCACCTACCTCTGCCTCCCAAGTGCTGGGACCAAAGGCATGCACCACCATGCCCAGCTTAATCAGCTTTTTAATCTTAAGGTTCCTATCAGCTTGATTTTTTTGTGACACTGGTTGATATCTTTCTGTAGCTCTGTGTTTTAGGTTTCTTGGAAATCTAAAACAAAATCTTCTCTCTTCTCTCCCCTTCCCTCCCCTCCCTTCTCCTCTTCTTTTCCTTTAGACAAGATCTCATGCAGCCTAGATTGGGCTCCACCTCACTATGTAGTAGAGGATGAACTTGAACTTCGGAGCCTTCCTCCTCCAGCTCCACATGCTGGCATTACAGGTGTGAGCCACTGTAGCTGTCTTCTTCCATGGACTTCCATGTCTTAACCTCTCTGAAGCTTTCTATTTTTTAAAAACCATCTGTGTTATACTTTGGATAATTTGTAGATCCAGATTCTTGGATACTAATTATCTTTTCAAGTGTATCTGACTATTAGGTCTGATCACTAAGGTCATTCTCTTCCCCTCTCCTTTCTTAGTTTTTGAGACAGTCTTGCTATGTAGCACTGGCTGACCTGGGAGTATGTAGCCCAGGTTGGCATCAAAGTCACAGCAACTAAGCTGGGGAGATGCTCATTGGGTAAGAGTGCTCACTGTACAAGCATGAAGACCTGAGTTCAAGTCTCCAGAACCCAGGTAGAGCCCGGTGTGGTCACATGCGCACCTGTAACCCTAGTGCTTTGGGAGCCAGAGGAGACTGAAGGCTTGCTGGTTGGCAGCCCGGCTCCAGGTTCAGTGAGAGACTGTCTCAGGGAATGAGGAAGACTGACAGAGCAAGATGCCCCACGTTCTCTGACCTCACATCAATCTTTTAAAAAATCACAGCCATGCTTCTGTCTCAAGGAGGGCAAGGCTTATGGTCAAGAGGCACCAGGCTCTCTTTTCATTTCTAGAAATTCTATTTGTGCCTTTTAATATCAATTTAGCCGTAATTTAGATTGTCTTACTCTTTTTGATATTTTCAGTCTTTTTTTTTTTTTTTTTCTTTTTGAGACAGGATCTCTCTGTAGCCCCAGCTGTCCTGGAACTCACTATGTAGACCAGGCTGGCCTTGAGCTCACAGAGATCCACCTGCCTCTGCCTCCCGAGTGCTGGGATTAAAGGCGTGCGCCACCATGCCTGGCAGTCCTTTATTTCTTTGAATATCATGGATACATATTTTATACTCTTTCCGAATACCTGATTTTTGGTGTGGATCTGATCCTATTGCTTTATTTTTGTACACAGAGCCCCCTGTTCCTTGGTGTCCATGACGTCTGAGCGAGAACGTGCAGTCCTCAGATCTCTTGTATTCCTTCCAGGCCTAGGCTCGAGGCAGGTCCGGTGGAGAGGACGCCTGTTGGTGTCTTCTGGGAGGCAGAAGCCACACTCTCATAGTGCGAGATTCCTGGATTTCGGGCAGTGTGGATTGTGACTGCAAGCTGTGTGTGTGCTAGCTCAGGCCTATAATCTGAGTACTCCAGAGGCTGAGGCAGAAGGATCACGAGTTCAAGGGCAGCCTAGCTGTAGAGGGGGCCCATTTCAACCAACCAACGAACCAAACAAAGCCAACGCTGCACTGACAACTCCTGAGGATTACCTGAGGGTTTTAAATTTTCAGGGGTAACTGGGATTTTCTTTCTTTTCTCAGCATTCAGGTTTGGGAAAGGGATGCATGTTCATGTGTGCATGTGTGTACCCATGCCCATGCTTTGGTATGTGCCATGTGCATGTTCGTGTGTGTGTGTTCATGTATGTGCATGTGTATCTCTATGTGTGCACACATTTCTCGGTGTATTATGCCTACATTCCCCTAATACTGCATATCAAGCCCTTTGGGATCCTGGCTCCTGCTGAACGGCATATTAAATTACCCCCTATATTCCCAGATAGGCCTGGCTGCGTCCCCTATCCCTGCCACTTCACAGACCTGATTCCCAGATGGGCCTGGTGGCGTCCCCCTTTCCTGGCCACCTCACAAACCTGAGACTTCAAAGGTGAAGGTGGAATTTCACTCCCTCCCCCCCCCCTTTTTTGACACAATCTTGCTATATAGCTCAGTTTGGCCTAGAACTCAGCATCTTCCTGTCTCAGCCTCCCCAGGGTTGGGATTACAGGCAGAGGGCACCGTGTCCAGGTTGAGGTCCCCATGTTTACATCGTTTTGGTGCTCGCTGCTTTTCTAACTTTACATCAGTCCTAGCCAGTATATGCAGCTATATGAATCTGGAGTGGGTAGGCAGCCTGGCATGCTGCCGAGGTAGAGGCCTGTGACTTACAATCACCTGACAATCTAAATGTTGCCGGCAGGCAGTACTCCAGTCACAGCCCCACCCGCTGCCCTCTGCAGCGTCCCACACACACTGTTCTTTCGACAGAAAATCTATATGCTGTCCTCACCCCTCAGTCTGACAGGCTGTGCCAGTTTCCTGTAGCTTGCCATTTTAATCAGGTATATGTGAAGGTGCATTAGAAATGACACAGACTGAGCTGGAGAGATGGTTCAGTTGGTAAAGTGCCTGCTAAGCAGCCCTGAGGGCCTGAGCTCCATCCCCCAGAACTGTGCAAAAAGCCAGACACGGGACGTGGAGACAGGACGACCCAAGCCTGGCTGGCCAGCTAGGTAGGTGAGCCTCAGGTCCCAATGAGAGAACTTGTTTTAAAAATAAGATGGAGAGGGCTGGAGAGATGACTCAAGGGGTAAGGCTTGTGCTGCACAAGCATGAGGACCTGAGTTCAAATTCCAGAACAGAACCCAGGTAAAAAGCGGAAGGCGTTAGTAAGTTGTCTGTCATCCCAGTGATCTCCAGTGACGTAGAGAAAGACGATGTCCCGGAAGCTCCTGCACCTGTACCTGGCTTACGCAGGGGCGGACAAAGCAGGTAGACTCTGTCTCAAACAAGGTAGAAGGAGGTACGGACACCCAAGGTCATCCTCTGACCTCCACACAGTCACTGTGGCATGTCAAAAATCAGGCACACACATGCACACACAATGATTAAAAAAGGGTGAGAGTGACAGAGGAAATCTTTGAGATCAACCTCTAGCCTCCACACACATGTGAACACGTGTGAATGCATGTGCACCCGCACACATGTGCACATTCACACACACACACACACACACACACACACACACACACACACACACACACACACACACACACACACACACACACACACACACGAAAAATTCCAAGGGGAGGGGAGCAGAACCTTCCAACCTTCCAAGCAGGGCCAGCAGACAACTCTTTGGGGAAAGGTGTTCACTGCCAAGCCTGATGACCTGAGTTTATTCCCCAGAACCCACATGGAGGAAGGAGAGAGCTGACTCTTAGAAGTTGTCCTTTGATGTCCACATGAGAGCCATGGAATGCACATGCACCCCTCCCCCACATTACACACAATAAATGAAAACAAAACCAAGGAAGTGTGTGGCTCCCACAACAGCATGATCTCAGGGTGTGGCCGACCTTCAAGGCCAGTCTGTCTAGTGCTGGCTCCTGGGACAACTTAGGTTCTTCAACAACACAGGCTAAAGATGTCACGGGAGAGGTGGGACAGGAGGCATCGAGGGTGTGAGATCAAGTGTGACAAAGGCTCTTGAAAAAACAACTAGCAATTCCTTCGACAGCTCTTTTGCTTGGTTCAAAATTCAGTATGCTTTTCAAGAGATACACGGGGGGGGGGGGCTGGGTTTCCACACGTCGACTGTGTTTCTTTGGCTTACCATTTATTTCCTGAAGCCTCTTGGGGTGGCAATTCTGCTGGGACTGGATGCTGCTAAGCAGGGAGCAGCAGTCAGCGGTGGTGACCTTGGGAAGTGGTGAGACCGTGGCAATCGGAGGACACAGGCCGGACCGCAGGGCTGCCACTGCAGGCTTGGATCACTGTCCCAATGCAGGAATGTGGGCTGTGTGTGTTTTCAAAGGGCAAAAATGAGCACTCCTGTGAGAAATGCCATGATTTTAAAGTGCTAGCAACCACCCCCACATGTTAAAAACGGTGGAGAGAAGCCGGGTGTGGTGGTACACGCCTGTAGTCCCAGCACTTGGGAGGCAGAGGCAGACGGATCTTTGTGAGTTCAAAGCCAGCCTGGTCTACATAGTGAGTTCCAGGACAGCTGGGGCTACAGAGACACCCTGTCTCAAAAAAGACCAAAATAATAAAAATAATAATAATAATAATAATAATAATAATAATAATGGAGAGAAAAGGCCAGGCAGAACGCAGGCTGGATGCCGTTCATGGCTGCCCGCATGTGACTGGGATGGATGCTACTGCTCAGCCGACATCCCCGTGAACCAGTCGCCATAGCCCACGGGAGAGGACAGAGGAAGCCCAGGGCTGTTTGTAGATGGAAGGGTGGCAGAGAAGCCTTGAAACAGCAGACCAGGCCACTCTTCGGAGCCCACGCTGCCTCACCCACAGGTGACAGAGGACAGCAGGAGCGGCTCCTTTCCCAGGGGCAGCTCATTCTAAACCCAGTTTCTCCAGTAGTGCTCTGCACACAGCTCATGAGAGGATGGAGAAAGCATGTTCAGAAAGGCCAGAGGACATCCCTACAGGAGGAGCAGACCCATAGTACACAGCATGAAAACAAGAGCCACAGCCCAGCCACTTCACTCTGGTCATGGCCAGGACAGCTCTCTCCAGATGCCACCAGGCACAGCAGACCCTAGTCCTGTCCCTGTAGTCTCTCCTCCTCCGTGCCTCTCTCCCTGTCTCCCCCCCTTTTTTCTGGTCTTTTTGAGACAGGTTCTCCCTGTAGCCCCAGCTGTCCTGGATCCCCCCCTCTTTTAAAAAATATTTTATTTATTATTTTTATGTGTATGTGTGTATTGCCTGCATGTAGGTAAGTGCACCTGTGTCATGTAATGCCAGCGGAGGTCAGAAGGGGGCATTGGATCCCCTGGAACTGGAGTTACAGACAGTTGTGAGCCACTCAGTGTTGGTGCTGGGAACTGAACCTGGGTCCTCTACAAGAGCAGAATGGGCTCGTAACTGCTGAGCCATCTGTCCAGTCCTTTTATTTTTTTTTTAAATTTATTTTTATTAAGTGTGTGTGTGTGTGTGTGTGTGTGTGTGTGTATACAGGTGCCCACAGATGCCAGTCTTTGAATCCCCCTGGAGTTGGAGGTGAGTCACCTGAAGTTGGTGCTGGGAACTGAACTCGGGTCCTCTGCAAGAGCAATACAATACATGCTCTTAATTGCTGAGCCATTTCTCCAGCATACTCCTCTTTCTTTTTTGATACAGGGTTTCATATAGCCCAGGCTGGCCTCAAACTCACTATGTAGCCAAGGCTGGCCTCACCGATCGCTCCTGATCGGTGTGTACCACCGAGTGTTCTATAGGCGGTGATCTAAGACGGTGCACTTTCCGTTTTGAATAGTTTATAAATCAGGTACCAAGCAAGAGAACAACAGCAAACAGAAGACAGAGAAGCAACAGATAGCAAAACATCATCAAATGAGGGGCTCCCAGCACGTAGCAGAGGTGACTGGGGAAGCCCTGCAGAAACCAGTGCTGCAGTTCTGGCTGAGGGATTCCCAGGCAGGGCAAAGCTTTCTAAAAGTCCATGGACATGCTTCCGCCTTCTGGTTCCCAGTGCAGGGATTTTTATGGTTACTATAGACAACAGTAACTTGTCAGAATGGTTTACCTTCCAGCTGTTCTCAAGGATGCGCTGTGGGTCTTTGGTTTACGTGTGTGTGTGTGTGTGTGTGTGTGTGTGTGTGTGTGTGTGTGAATGCATGTTTGCATGTGTGGACATGTGTATGTGTGTGTGCACGGGTAAGTGGACACCAGAGGTTGATATAGAATCTTCGTCAATTGCTTTTCATTTATCGAGGCAGGGTGTCTCAATCAAACCCAGAGCTCACTGATACGGCTTCCTCTCTGCTAGCCAGCTTGCTCTGGAGATCCAGTCTCCACCTTCTGGGGCTGGAGTTACAGGCAGGCCACCAAGCCCTGGGTTCCGGGGGATTGGAACTCCAGTTCTGAGGAGTTCTTTATCTACCAAACCATCTCTGCAGTTCTACACTGTGCCATATTTTTAAAGCTCTTAGCTGTTACATTTTCCTTTCTCCCCATCCCAGTTAGGGGACCAGCCTGACCCAGGACACTTGAGATAAGCATGCAGAGGTCTGGGGGAAAGGAGTCATCCTTGCTCCCAGACTCCACTTTCCACAAGCTTAAACCACATGTGACCATTTACCATTGCAGTGCATCTTAAACCACACCTGGCTTGCTACAGTATCTTTAAAAATACTGGCACATTTAGATGGTGTCCACTCCCAGCTCTGAGCATGATGATATCTCGGTGCTGTAGGAAGCTGTTCATGCCCCTCACTTGTTTACCCACTGCAGCATCCCCTTCCCTTCCCCCAAAGGACAGCACTTCCTGCCTCAGGGAGAAGGAGCTCCGGAGCCCCCAGTGGTGGAGACCCGCTGCCCTGGCACCCAAAGCTGCCATCGAGCGCAGGGGAGGACCGTGCCATGCTGCTGGGCGTCACCATGATGGGCTCTTCTGTGATGATGTTTCTTCTTCTGGGGACCACCATCCTGAAGCCTTCTGAACTCAGGTAAGACACAGATGAGAGCCGGGCACGGTGGTGCACATCTTGAATCCCAGTACTTGGGAGGCAGAGGCAGGCCGATCTCTGTGAGACTGAGGTCAGTCTGGTCTACATAGCAAGTTCCAGGTCAGCTGGAACTATAGGGTGACCCTGTCTCAAAAAACCAAAATATGGGGCTGGAGAGATGGCTCAGGGGTTAAGAGCACTGGTTGCTCTTGCAGAGGACCCTGGTTCAGTTCTCAGCACCCACAGTGGGCTAACAACTGTCTGTAACTCCAGTTCCAGGGGATCCGATGCCCTCTTCTGACCTCTGCAGGTATTGAAGGACACGGGTACATTTACATACATGCAGGCAAAATGCTCATACACAAAAATAAAAGTAATAAGTATTTTTAAAAAACCCTAGAACACAAAACAAAACAGACACAGATAAGAGCCAGAGCTAGGAGGTCTGACCTGGGCCCAGCCCAGGAAGGGAACATGGCTCTGGCTCTCCAGACTCTGTCCTCCTGACCAGTCTGAGGCTGCCTCTGCCATGCTGGAGACAGCTGGGTGGTGAGGGGGGGTGACAAGTGGAGAGTATTCTGCGGTGCCCCTGAGCTCACAACCCACAGGCTTCAGCACACAGGCACATTGCCAGTCATCAAAGTTCAGGGAAAGCAGAGATCAAGAGGTTCTTCTGCAGCCCAGGTCCCAGTACGACTTGCTCTGTGGTACCAGGAGAAACCACTCTGTTGCTGCTCAGCCAGAGAACTTTATTAAGTGGGTACCAGGAATCTTACATCTGGTACTTCCCTTATTGCTGTGGCTGCTCGGACACTCAGCCCAGTTCATGGCTCAGTAAGGGATCAGATGGCCTTCGGGTTAGATGTTTGTACTTACTCTTGAGTTCCTTCCAGCTCTCTCTCCTTTTCCTGTTGCCCCTTTCCCCCACTTCTTTAAAAACATATGACTTTGGGCTGGAGAGATGGCTCAGCAGTTAAGAACACTGACTGTTCTTGCAGAAGACCCAGGTTCAAATTCCAGCACCCACATGGCAGCTAACAACTGTCCGTGACTCCAGTTCCAGGGGATCTGACGGTCTCTTCTGTGCTTCTCGGGCATTGCACATCACAGGTGCACTTACATGCAGGTATACCACTCATACACATAAATAAAATATTTTTAAAAAACATATGCCTGCATATAGAAGTGACTGTTTACATGTGTGTATATAGTCGTGGGCAGATCAAATTGATTTAAAATTTCATCTGAGAGGGGCAGGATCTGCAATGGGCTTGAGGAGATCAGGGGACAGTTTTCAGGAGTCAGTTCTCTCCTTCTACCATGTGGGTCCTGGAGACTGGACTCAAGACTCAGGCTTGGTGGCAGGTACCTTTCCCACTGAGCTACCTAAGGGCCCAGGTTGTTTTTTGAAACAGGCGATGCACTGGGGAAATGGCTGGAGGAATTCTGCTGCAGCTGCCACGAACTAGATCATGTTGTTTTACTTTCTAAGTGTTTCTGGAAATTACTTGATTGAAGCCGAGGACGATGCCCGAGCAGGGAACATTCAACTATCTTCCCTTATTCTGCACCATCTCGAGGAGCTGTCCGTGAAGGACTGAGGGTGGCTCCCACCAAGGGATGCACAGACCTGTACAAGAACAAGGCACCCCAAATCCTAGCACAGACAGGATGAGGGAGGGGCACAAGAAGTCCCAGGCCTAGCTGAGAAGCTGCTGGTATTTGATGGCTGGGAGGAGGGAGAGTCCGTATTCTTCAGGGCGAGAGGCTGCCCGTGCTCTGGTAGATGGTCCTACATCCATGCACACAGGGGCAGCACTAAGTGGACTCAGTGGATTAAAAAAAAGAGAGAACACATAAGTTGGGTAGGAAAAGTTCAGGTGGGGGGTAGGGAAAGAACTAGAGGGGAGGGAATGGAGGTGGATTTGATCAAAATGCATTATATGCACATATGAGATCCTCAATAAATGAAGGGACACATGAGACTGCTGAAATAATGTGATCGTTCTCAGTCCTACAGATACCCCTGGTTGCATCTGAGGGCTCTGGCTTAACCCTCGTGTGTTGGCCAGAGGATGTCGCACTCTATTGAAGTTCTCTGAGGTCCTGAAAGGACAGTCAGATCACATTTAATACTTGGAATTTAGACAGTTTAAATCCTAACAGACACACAGACGACTCTAAGATATGGCTTTAAGATGCGGAGTTTAAATAGATAAACAAGCACAGGACAGCAAGGCCATGAGGGAAGACTTCTGTGGTCTGCATCAGATCAGCAGTGCCATGTTAGGTCACAGCACCCGGAGGCTCAGCAGGTAACTCCATGGTCTCCAGCCACTATAGGGAGAGCCCCGGGAAGAATTTCCCATTTTCAGGGGAAAACAAACATTGATCACTGGCTACAATGACCATGCACTTTAAAAAAAAAAACCTTTTTGAGACAAAGTCTCCCTGTAGCCACAGCTAGTCTGGATTGGTTATGGAGACCAGGCTGGCCTCAAACCCACAGAGATCCTCCTGCCTCTGCCTCCTGAGTGCTAGGATTAAAGGCGTGTGCCACCACACCCAGGTGATTCCCAGAACTGGAGTTACAGATGGTTGTTAGCCACCATGTGGGTGCTAGGATTTGAACCTGGGTCTTCAGCAAGAGCAGCCAGTGTTCTTAACTGCTGAGCCATCTCTCCAGCTCCCATAAGCGGTGCTTTTTAAACACTCTGATTGTATGCAAGGCTTATTCGACTTCTTTAAGGCAAGTGGAAATGAAGGGACCCACCTCACCTTCTGTGGGAGAGGCCTATGGAGCTCACTCCACTGATTAGTCTGTTAGCTGATTTTCTCATTGCTGTGACCAAACCCCTGCCAAGAAGCAACTTAAGGGTCTGGTTCCCAGTTAGAGGGTGCAGTCCACCAGGTGAGGCTCGGCAGGACTGAAGCCCTGGTCTTTCTCCTGATTCAGTTCAGGTCCCCAGCCCCTGGGATGGTGCCACCCAGATTTAGGGTAGGTCTTCTCTCAATTAGCCCACTCTAGAAACTCCCTCACAAACATGCCCAGAGGCTTGTCTCCTAGGCCTGTCAATATTACCCATCAAACGGTCTTGGCAGGCCTGCCCCTCACAAGACTACTCTCCTGCTCCCATTTCACATATACTCTGTTTTCCTTCCTGTGGCTGTGACAAGCACCATGACCAAAAGTAGCTTCCTGAAAGAAAGGAAAGAAGTGTTGGTCTCCTTGGCCAACACTTCCAGAAAGTGTTAGGAACATGGGGGAGGCATGCTCAGCTGGAGTCTGTACACAGCCCAAACCCTCCCCGGCCAGTGGCTGGGTCCTCTTGCATCAGCTATCAATGAAGAAATCTCTCATGGACATAGCCACAGGCCAATCTGAAGTGCAGAATTCCTCAATACTGTCACGTGATTCTAGGGTGTGTTGACCACTGATGCTAACTAGGACAACAGTGATCAGTCCTCATCAATACTAACATGGGATCTTTATGACGGGAACTTTGTTTTACATCCATAGTACCCAAGACATAATCTGTATACTGCACAGGGCCAGTTCTCAAGGAACTTTTCCATGATGGTGTTTGTAACAGGTGAGAGGTATCCTGTCACAGGATCCCGGAGTGTGACGATGAACAGATTGGAGGCTGGAGAGATAGCTCAGCAGCTAAGAGCACTGGCTGCTCTTGCAGAAGACCCAGGTTTGAATCTCAGCACCCACATGGTGGTTAACAACTCTAGGTCTGGGGATCTGATGCCCTCTTCTGGCATCTGAGGTACCAAGCACACACATAGCACACATACACACAGGTAAAACAAATACATAAAATAAAAATAAAGGCTGGGTGTGGTGGCACACGCCTTTAATCCCAGCACTCAGGAGGCAGAGGCAGGTGTATCTCTGTGAGTTCAAGGCCAGCCTGGTCTACATAGTGAGTTCCAGGACAGCTGGGGCTACAGGGAGACCCTGTCTCAAAAATATAAATA